GAAATTAAACATTGCGAGCGAGCCGTATGAATTGAAAAAATGTGAAAGACGATGCAAATCGCGCAATTTAGAAGAGAGAACAAACAAAACAAAGATGCACTGTGTCTCATACCACACATAGTCATTCCATTCGACAAACAGCAAGACAGTCGACGATTAAAACAGCAGTGAGCGCTAGTTTAATATTCCTTTTTCTTAGACGTAAATAGGCCCAATACGTCAGTTCCTAGAACAGAACTAAACTCGCTACGCAGCGAAAAATATTCCCATGAAAATCAGAATTATTTTTGATTATCAATATATGAATCTCAATTTTTCTCTCAACAATCAATTTTTTTTGTACCCTAATCGAATTAAAATTCTGAAACCGATTGAAAAAAATCCAGTCAATTGACTTTTTTTTATTTTATTTTTTTATTCATGATCCTATTTTAATTTTTTTAATCGATTGAAATCTCAATCAACAAAAATTCAGTTAATGGATTTGAAATTGATTATCACAAATTATCTCCAATTATAGTTTGGTGTAAACTGATCACCATTTCATTCAGAACCTGAGTCCTATTTAATCGATTTCTAAACGTAGTAATAAAATAAAACTGACTATTTTCGGAAGTCGAAGATTCACAGGAGATGAGTACAACGTGTTCGAATAGCAATTATAAAAACGCTTTATTTATGTAGAAATCTTATATAGAAAAAAAAGAGATAAGATTTACATACGATTGATTAAAGTTGATCAAAATAATCTAATTAATTGCAATTAGGTTTTGATTTTTAATCAATTTCTGATGTAATTGCACTATCGCAATTTAAAACAATTTATATATCAGCTCCAACTTTACTTCAGTTGCCGCAATTTAGCTTGATGGCAACTTTATGGTTTCTAAGTACGAGCAAGTCAAAAAGAAATCGTTAAAAAATTAGGATTTCGCATTTGAATAAGAGGTAAGAATGGATTAAAACTGATTAACAGGTAGCATAGAATAAAAACAGATAATTCTCATATAAAAAAAACGGAAAAAGTCTGGTTTTAGTCGATTTTTTTGCATGAGAAAGGTCTCTATTTAGTCGTATTTCATCTTATCATTTACAAACCAGTACAACTGTATAACGAATTGATCAAAATCAGGCTTAAGTCAATTATATGAGAATTTTCACCATGACTATTGCGGAACATAATCCAAATTATAATTGATTATCTTCAAAATTATCAATCAATACTAATCGATTAATATTGATTGATAATTTTGATGATAATCGATTATAATTTGGATTTTGGCGCAGAATAATTGATTTATTGATTTTGATTAGATCTATAGAATTTGGAAATTTTCAATTTCTCTAATGAACTCTTGATTTTTCTAAGAAGATCTCTTCTACTGTTTGAGTATGTTGAAGGGTAACCTTCCTTTTTTAGTCAAATACGCTTCTCCAGAAGGTTCAAAAAGGCAATCGAATTTATTGTTTTGAGAGTTTTGTGAAACATCATTGAAAATGAATGTTAAAGTTTAGAACAAAAAAAGTGAACTCTCTCTACACACCGTTACAGAGATTTCGCTATATTTGCCACGATCTATGGCACTATAAGAGATTTTGACGTGGTGGTCTTAGTCCGCTAACCGATCGGGACGGGCATAGCGAGGTCTTTCCATAATGGTTCAAGCAGCTTCATTGTGTTTCATATTTCAATTCCATAGGAATTGTGCTGAAAGCTTGTATTGCACGAGATAACATTCTTTTTCGATTTTTGAATAAGTTGGAGCGTTTGTTGATTTAGAAATCACAGGAATTATGTTTTAGGATTCCAAATTTTCTGGTAGCAATTGAAAAGGATGTTAAATAGAGTCTATTGGAAATTTTCTATTTGTTGAAGAAATCGGGAACGATAGTGATTTTCTCATCTTCATAACTTACTCAGCTAGTTCAAGTGCTATTCTGACGAGGGGCAAGAAGCGTACTTCTAAAGTACAGAAGTACTTGCAACTACGATGTAATATGTGTAAGTGTATTAATGTGCTTAGAAGTTCCTGCATATTTATTTGTTAGGAAAAACCGAATTTGAAGAATAAATAAGAAGAGATTGTCATTATCTTTGTGACATGTTTGGATAACTCAAGAAAGCTGATCATTCGAGAACACATATTTCTATTAGTTAACAATCGATAAGCCGATTGTTTATAAATATATTTTTCATGATCATTAAGTGTTACTTTATAACAAAAGTCTTATGGGCAAGGTTTAATTTCATCGTAACGAAAGTGTGTCAAATTATGGACCAAGTATTCCAAAGAATCTATCGTAATCTTATTAGCCTGAGAATGAGCATTGAACCCTGATCATTTTTCACGATTTTACTTTGTATTTTATGACAAGTCAATTTTTCAAATCTGAGATTCTACTCAGGCATTGATAAAAATTTTTTTCCGCATTCGATTAGAAATTTTAAGAGATCAATAGAGTTATGTGTGCTGATTGTAAAAATGAACTTTGTTCTAAAGTAGTAAGATAATTAAAGAGATCTGAATCACTTTCTGAAAGTCTCAAAAACCAGTTTTTGTCATGAGAGTCCACTAAAATCCGATTTTGATTCATCGAATATAGGTTCATTTGATGCAGAATTTTTTTCTCTATGAGAATCTATGAGATCGTCTTAGACATTCAAATCTTTGTCGATCGATATATGTCAAAACCGTCCCAACTATATTCTGAAGTTATCGTTCCCACATGTGTACAAGCTAGATTTTGTAATCGAATATATGGTTTGATGTGCTCTTTCTGATGACATCATTTTCAACCAGAAAAGCGATATTTGTGAAGCACTTTTGCTCTAACCATCATGTTAGGCAATCAATTTGCAATTTTTTGCACCAGTATGAGAAGGTTTTCGAATACAAGACACCTTGTTTGAGTTGTTTTCGGTCAAATTTGCTGCTGTAGTTCCCCTCAGAGAAATATAGAAAAATCAATTTCATCGAAAACCCATTTTGCTAGTCTTTTTGATGAAATTGATTTTTCTATATATCCCTGCTCTCTAAACAAAAAAAGGTGTCATAAGAAATCCTTAAGAGTTTTAGCGAAGATCCTGAAATATTTAGGATTCAAGATTTGGGTATCATTTTCTGAACCTTTTATGGTTCTACCTGAAACTTCTTTTTTTTTCTCTTTCCAAAAATCGTTCTACCCTGCTAAAAGCAGTCCATTCAACAAACTTAGTCTACTACTGCTAATTAATTCCATGCCTGATCCCTTATTCCTATCCTCAATCCCTTAATTCTATATCTAATCCCTTATTTCTATCCTTAACTCCTTGTTCCTATATTTAACCCATTGTTTCTATCGTTAACTCATTATTTCTAGGTGTGATCTTTTATTTATATGCCTAATCGGTTTTTTCTCCATCTAATCGTTTATTTCTATATTAATTCCTATATCTATATTTTGACTCTAATGCAAGGGAAAACATCGTACTTTTGGACTCTAAAGTATTTGAAGTACATTAAAAGTACGTTGAAGTAGCTTAGAGTACCCTAAAGTTTGGGGATGGACCATTTTTTAATGCGACTTAATTAATGATAAGCTGATAATGTTCTATTGCGGTTTTTTCAGTCAGAAGAGGTTTACTTCAAGAAAATAGCGGAATTTTATAAAACTTGACGAGAAGTTCTCAGGATTGGGGAATTCGAATCTATAACTGGTTTCTAGAAATTTCTGAGTTTCATTTTTTTTTGTTAAGTATGACCTAATTTCAGCGATTTAAGCAAGTTTTATAGGATTCTCCTATTTTCTTGAATTAGACCTTGCCCTATCAAAAAATGAAACTCACAAATTGCAAGTAACTACTTATAGATTCGGATTCCTCGATCCTGAAAACCTTTAGTCACATTTTATAAAATTTCGCTATTTTCTTGAGATAAACTCCTCCTGGCCGAAAAGAACCGTAATCGAATATTATCAACTTTTCGTTAATCAAGTTACGCTAAAAGAATTCCTCAACTCTATGTATAAGTGGAATATAAACCTTTTCAATAGAATGGTGATAAAAATTTTTATCGATACTTGAGGGAGACCCTGGGGGTATGAGAAATTGAATTATGTTATAATACGAAATAAATTAGTAAAAAAATAACCAGGTTATTAAAATTAGGATCAGATTCTTTGTGACACTTGATACATAATTGGACATACATTATTTAGGATACATTATGTTTGTGTTATTTTGGTTTTTTTTTCTGTATGATTCTATATTATCTATAGATAACTATTAAAAACTGATGGAATAACATCACCATTCATATAAAGTGAAAACGGTTAAAAAGTTTGAATGAGTATAGAGATAGACAGAAGTACGTTTGTTCTCCTTTGAGTTCTTTTGAACATTGTATTACACGATCTTCCAACTGATTTATTGGTTATTTCGCAATTTAAGTAAAAATAAGCTCTTTCAAGCTATTTCATGTCGATATTAAAACTTGAATAACTGAAAGATTGGAACAAACACTGAACTCTTCTAAGAGTTCTTTTTTTTTTTACAAAACTTTTATAATTTGACCATTGTTTACAATTTATTTGTTTGACAGTTATTTGAAAGAATTGAAATGACAACTGCTCTTTCGATATCGACGAGAATCGATAAACTTATCGAACGAATAGAAAAAGTTAAAGTGTTTGCAGATCATTGGAGGCTAATTAAACAAAACTTAACTCAACTTCGACAGGGATTGAAAGACACGGATGCAAAAAAACATGGAATTCGTACTAAGGAAAAAATTTTACAAACAATCAAAACTATCGAACATGTCGCTGCTAGGTGTAGTGATGACCAATCAGCATCGGCAGGAATCATATTTCGAGAACTCGAATCGATATTGCATCGGCTTCAATTACGCCTTGCACAACATCAATCGTATATAACAGATGACTATCAAACTAAAGTCAATATACTTAGCGACACTTGTCATGAACAGCAGCTTCTTGTACAGAAGGTTTACGATGAAAGGATGAAACAACGATTGGAGGAAATCGAACAACGAACAGAGGATTATACGAAAGAACAATTTGGTCGATTGTATGCAACACATGCAAAGACGATTGAATCTTATCTTCGTAGTTGTATGGAGTTACATAAAAGTGTACCACTTCGTAGTCTCAAAGGCGAGATTATTGGTAGAGTTGTTAATAGTTTCTATGAACTTTCTCCTGAAACTCAGATTGAATTCGAACATAAATGGCAAGGATGTGAGCTACCTCTCACTCGTACATTTATTCAATTGAGACTTGATAAATCCACATCATTCGAAAGAAGCGAATCGCGACGATTACTTATCGGATCAGAAGTCAACTTATCCCAAGGTCTAGACAGTAAGACACAAGTGACCAAAGGTCTATGGCAACAATTGGTGTCAGCACCTTATATGTTATCAATGGTTGAACAAGATCGATCTGTTGAAGAAAAAGAAAAAGAAATTGTTAATGAGGAAAATGTTCGTCGAACAAAACGTTGGATTGTTATTTTGGGTGATTCGGGTAGTGGAAAAACGAGTTTTGCTCGATGGCTTGTTCGTCATCTTGCTGAAACATTTCTTTCCAACAAACAACATTCGACTGATTTTGCTTCTCTTCGAATTCCGATTCTGATTCGTATTGGAGAATTTGCTGAACTTTGGAGCAAATCGTCTTCATTGACTCTATTTGATTATATTGGAAAACACACATGGATGGGTAAAGCCATTGTTGATGATCAATTGATTTCTCTTGATGACTTATCATGTGCTCTTCAAGATTACATCAAACAAGGTCAAGCTTTGATTATTCTCGATGGTCTCGATGAAATTCCAGTTTCCGATCAACGTTCAAAGATAATCAATATTGTTGAAAATTTTGTCGGAACTTATGTTCAAACACCGACAGGTAGGTCTGTTTTCGATAATGTACATTTGAGCAGAGATTTCGATGATTCATCTCAATCTGGAGGAAACCAGCTGATTATTACAAGTCGTATTGTGGGCTATCATGTTACTCCTTTAGTTGGTCAATTTGCTCATTATACAATCCGACCGATGGATAAAAATCATGTGAAGGATTTCATTGATTATTGGTTTTATCATGTTCATCAGCAGATAATCGATATGTTAAATCTTTCAAAAGATAATCAAGGAAAGAATCATGGTGAAGTACTTAAACAAGAATTTGAAAAAAAAGAAAACGTTGATCTTCTTGATATGGCTTCGAGTCCTTGTCTGTTATCATTCATTTGTAGTGTAGCTTTTGGTCAAACCAATGGTTCACCATTACCTACTCAACGTATTGAACTTTATCAAGATATTGTCGATTCCATGTTGAATTCCTGGAGTACTAAAGAATCGACTATTAGTATATCGAAATTGATTCGAATTCTAAGTGACATTGCCATTCATATTCATCAAAATTTAGCATCTGGCCTTATTCACGAAGATAATATGAAAGAAATTTGCATTCAATCGATCAACGCTTTCTTAAATGAAAACTTGAACAATAACGAAGATCTTTCTGAGATCGGAAACCAAGCAAATGAATTCGTACGAATATGTCGTGAAGATATTAGAATTTTGACTGCTCGAGGTGAATCTCTTTATGGATTCCTTCATTTGACATTGCAAGAATATTTTACTTGTTTGAAACTTACCAATATCGATCAATTACAACAAGAGAAATTGCCTATTCAAGAATCCAGTTCAGAAAATAAAGTTCATCTTGTTACTCAATTATTGCATCGTCATACGAATGATCCACGTTTTCAGGTACCTAATAAACTTGCATTGAGCAGGATTAGTTCTTGTTGGTCACTGGACGATTTTGATGATTTTTGTCGCGAATTTATCCGACTTGAAGATACAGCTGAGTCTCTTTTACCAGTTGGTGCTTTTCTGTTAATTAGTTGTACTAATGATCTTGTTCATTATCCTTCGAACAATGTTTTGTTTGATGCATTGGATCATTTAATCATTGCAGCTGGTCAATATCAATGGTCACTTGTTTGTCCATTTCTTTTCGATCGAATTTCAATTGCACTAAGAAAATTTCGAAATAACATTGTTTCACTGTGGATTAATAATCTTTTATCCCGATCTCCACCACCCAATATTCAAACAATCTCAGCTCTGTGTTATCTCCTTCAAGGAACACCTGGTGAATTTGAAAATATCAATTGGTTAGATCAATCATCTTGTTCGATACTTCAATCCTTTTCAACACTGGACAATGAAAATAATCAATTTGCGATTGATCGACTGTTAGTCAGAATTTCTTTCTCCAACTATCGTTTGTTATCTGTTCATCCAGATACTTTAAAAGAATTTTTAATTACACAAAAAATTGAATTGCATTCGATTCCTGTTTTTCTTTTCCCTTTAATCATTACTTTGTATGGTGGTTTGAAACGAGATGATCAATCGATCGTCTTCGATCCATTTCATATGTATCGTGAGTCAATTGCAGTAACACCAATTTTGATACGTTTTCTTTCCAGAAAAAATGATAATAAAAAGGATCAAGACCTGATCAACATCAAAGAAGACTTTCTAAATGCTCTGCTGGCACGAATAGAGACTAATGATCAATCCTCGGAGGCTGTCGATCTATGTATTGCGACGATCTGTTTGTATGACATCGATTTCATGCGAAAAAATGAGAAGATCGTCTCAAATGTTCTTTTTGATATGAGTATCAGTCGATTCAAATATGTTTCAATGATTTTACGTCAATTCTATTTTGCTAATGACGAAAACGATCGTTCAATTGACAATGAAACAACAATGTTTATTTCAAAGCTAATCAAAAGAGTTGACTTTGATCAATCATCAAAACAGTTATTTGTAAGTTTCTTAGATTCATTAAGAAGTAGTATGGCTCGTTTGCGATCGTCTACAACGTCAACTTTACTCAAAGGAAAATCAACACCTGATAAAAGAGTGATATTGAATCTGCCCAATTCTCTTCGCAAAGAGTCTGGTTTTTTCATACGTCTATTATCGACAGATATACAATTTGACCGTAGTCGAAATTCTTGTTCTTTGCTTCATCATTTCACTAGACTTTTCTGGATATTAGAGGATGACGATAAGTTTGACACGACGTACAGAATGGCTGTGGCTATGGACGACATACAACAGTATTTACTATTTCACAATGACGAAGATCTCTTATTTCCGTTGATATTTGTTCCACGACATTTACAGAATCTTTATTTCCGATTACTAGAACAAGAGTTTATCATGATCAATTCAAAGGGTTGGAAAGTCAAAGATAAAGAATATCTTTATTTTAGTCATATTCTAGTTGAAAGTTTACTGGCATTGTCAAATGCATCATGTAAAAGATTTTCTCTTTTAAGTGCTTTAATTGCGTTACTACCTATGCTTCGAATGCATCAATTAGAGAATTTTGGAAGTAGTCTATTATGGACATTAGCTAAAACAGATTCTTACCTTCTACAAGAGTTTGAAACCTGTAGACAGTATCCCATGAATTATGAAACTGGTATATACGTGGATAAAGTTGAAAATTTTCCTCTTGGTAATGATATGTCAGATGAAGAGCGACGAACACTGATAAAAAAATGTATTAAACAAGAACATAAACGATTTCGAAATGCTTTAATTGAGAATAACAGAAGAAGCATGAAGCTGTATTCTGCATGTATCTCTTTGGCACGCGTTTGCAGATGGACTCAAGGGGAGAAGAGACTACATTTATTAGAAGAGAGTATCCGTGGAGCGATGTGCATTGAATCAAAACTTGTACGTCTCGATGCATTAAGTGTCATACTTCTTTATTCTCACTCAGATTATCATAGAATCAAACTTAGTAATGGTAAATCTCTGCAAAAAGAAATCGAACAACAATTCAATGAGATTTTCCCGAATTTACCTGTTCTATTACACACAGCTATATTTATTCGATGTCTACCTCTTCTTCAACGTCAAGAAACAATCGAGAATTGTCGAAAAACTCTCCTTCAAAAGTTGACCGATGCTGATCAACAAGATCAACAAGTTATTTATGAAGCCTTAGCACCATATATGCAAATCAATTCTTCCTTTGCAGCATTTCAACAACGTATTTTGAACGACTTAACGAAGGAGAATTACGATGACTATAATAAAACAATGAGTAGCAGTTCTTCCGTATTGAGAAAATGTTTTACTATCGGCCCATATGAAAATGTTCTGAATGAATCTTTATCTTTGTCATTACTTCTTTCCAACATGTATCTTGTGCAATTAGCAAGTGAAGTTCATGGATGTATTGGACCCTCTAATCGTTTGTCGCAGATATCAAATACTGATGCGTCGACAACAGATGAATCGACAATAATAATGAAATTATTTCAACTGAAAAGTCCTATTTTGACACTAGCACAAGCATCGACAATAACGGATCTTCTTTCTTCTAATTTATCATCAAATCGATGGAAATACTCCAAGAAGTTTTGGGCTGTTTTAAACGATGCATTACATCGTTTAAATTTAGTTGAATTCAAAGCCTGTCGATTGATTGAGTGTTGGATGAGATGGAAAGAATCAACTGAACTTTCTTTGTTTGCTTTTCATGCTGCATTACTTCTTGCTCAATCAGATTTCTGGTCTGTTGAAACTGCCACTATCGTGTGTGATCTTTTGTGTTCTGAAAATGATCGTTTTCGTCAAAAAGCTGAAATCATTCTGCGAACTAAAAGCGACGACGATTGTCGAACGAGTTCCATACTAGATATCGATGTTTTATTAACTTTAACAAAGAAAATGGCACACTTTCAACACACTGCTCCATTTGCCAAGCTAACTTTATCTTGTTTGTTTGACAATATAACAATAGATATTCAATCTCATTTGGAAACTTTCCTTTGGTTAGAACGATACAGAATTTATACATTGACTATTAAAAAACCTTCAGCGAACAAATTAAATACGTCGCCAGTTTCTTACTTTGCTTCGTATTTTCCAAGTGATATTACCATAGATGTATCCTTTTGTGGTCACATACGAAATATTTCTGGAGATCTGCTTCAATTTATGTGTGATCTGATCCCATCTAATTTTTCATTATTTTTAGATATTGATGATGACATAACATCGAAGTTAGTTTTGGAAAGTCATATTCGATTTGTTGTTTCAGTACTAGTGTCTTTAGCTACTTTATCCACTTATGATGATGAAACACGACCACTGAGAGTCGATGCTTTGATAACATTATTTGAAACATCGAGAAACAATACGATACGTCAAGCAGCAGCGTATGCTCTTGGTTACATTTTGGATCAAGAAACATATAAAAAATTGTTTAAGAAACTTCAAATACTGATGAAGAAGGCAACAAATAAGACTTCCAACGACTCTGACTATTTGATTAGTGCATTGATTTCAAGTTATTGTCATTATATAGCTGTGTGTAACATCAATTTTGATCAAGATGATATGGATCTATTTCATCAGTTACTCAAACATTCTTCGCAAGTTATTGTGAAAGCAGTACATGTTGGACTTGCGCGTGTTTTGAAGGATAAATCGATGTTCTTTGAAATGATCGGTTCTGATTATGTTCAGTGTTATCATGCACTCATCGGATCCACCGCATATTTTTTTGCATATAATGTTCAGCAAAGGTGTGCAGAAAACGTGATAGAATTCATCGAAGAACATCCAGAGCTTCTATCAATCTTTGTCGTCGAATTGTACAATAGTATTCGTCACTTCACTAAAGACATAGTCTATCGTGAAACAACAGACAATATTTTGGCGTACGGGTATCCTGAATATGTAGAAGTTGCAAGTTTAATCGCTGTACGAATGCCTGCAGCATTTGTTTCTTGCATAAAGGACTGTGGATATGAAGATGACTTTAAACGGTCATTATTCTATACGAGTAAACAACATGATTTTTCGCGACGTAGTGCATCTCTAATCATCTTATCAGTATTTGGCGAGCTGACAGTCGAATTATGCGATATATTCATTGAAGCTCTGTGTCATGATCCATATATGCGAAATACATGTTATAAATGTTTGGCACGTATCAATACTATCAAAGATGAGAATGCTGTTCGAAATCTTTTATTTTCATATCTGAAATCGAAATCAATGAATACTCGATATGCTGCAGCTAAGATGCTTCTTTATTTCTCTCAATCTTCTCTTATTCTATATGATCAAGTTCGAGTAGCATTGAATGAACTTATGTCGGACCCAACATCCGAAGAAGATTTATGGTTGATAGAAGAACAGGAAGATCTTACAGAATGCTTATACTATTATGTTGGACCATTAAAAAATGTTATCTATTCTCTTCTCGTGCAACATTTAACTGGCAATACAAGTCGAACTGTTCAAAAAAATGGGCTGAACGATATTGACTCGGATTTTCTTCAATCTGATAGAGCATCATGTCTTGCTTCATGTCTTTATGAAGAAAAAAAAGAAGAAGAGAACTCGGAAATAGAGAAACCTTCAAAATCAAGTCATGTGTTCGATAATGAAGAAAATTCTACTTTGCATCATTCATCCATTAGTCACTACAGATCTGAAAATGATGAGACACCATGGATTCATGAAAAGCAAGAAGGCGATGATCATGCGCGGCCATTTAAAAATGAGGAAGGATCTATTGAGAGAGTGGCAACCAATAATGATATGAAACAAAAGACAGAAAATGAAGGTATTGAATCATCTATCGTCGGTGTTGGCATGTGTCCCTCTCAGCCTCCATCAAGATTGTCTATTTCTGAAAAAAAGAAGAGTACACTATGTGTCATTATTTAGTCTGTTTCTCTTTTATTTTTTTTATTATATAATAATTGAATCATATTTCTCACTATAAATAATTTCTTTAGAATTTGAAAGAAGAAAAATGTTTTTCTAGTACAACTCAAAATCACATGAAAATAAGCTTGAATGACGCTTAGGGTGTACAGTATAAAAGTGATGACCATAAATGTCGCTGTTCGAACAGACAGATATGCTGAAAGGATAGTTTTCCGGTGGGTTACCATCATTTCCTGCACTTGAAAAAATGGTCAAAACGTATTCTTGTTACCCACAAGGATCTGAAGTAGGAATACGTCCATCTATCACGACGAACGAACACAGACCAGATCCCGACCTTTTCACAATCCGGAAAGTGAACAAACGGTGGCCAACGAAAACTAACCAACTTTCATTATTTTTGTGGGTGAAATGCTTACTTTTGGAGTACAAAAAGGTGCGCACGTTTCAGTAGACATCGTACTTTCTAAAGTTGTAGAAATCATATCCAGAGGGTATTCATCGCTAGGCGTAGTAAATTACCATTGCGAGGTAATGAGTGATCGCCCAGTGACGAATTCCCTGAGAACACAGTAACTGAAAATTCGTAGATTTTATTGTCGCACTGAAGAAAGATTATTTTTGGGATTATAAAGATTCCTTATCAATCTTGGTCAAGCGTTTTTGCTGTCCATAAATCTGAATCCTTAACTATTGTTTACATCAGTATGAATTCATCTTGTTGTTTGTTTGGAACATATAAGAGAATGTTCCTGTCAACTTCGGATTGATCCGAACAAAACTGCTTTGCTCTTACAATAGCAGAGAAAAGTCTCATTGCAATTTGTTTGGTTGGATGCTTCTTGCATCGACCTATCAGACGCAAGCCAAGCTATTTCTTAGCTATAGTAACAACAAAACATAGTATTACCTGGATCACATGAAAGAGAACTCGTGCGAATCAAAGATTGGTTCGAGCAATTATTATGTTCTATCATGACAATAGCGAGATCACATTAAACTCGACGGTTGTAACAATTCAACTGTCCCACCCCTACTGCTCGTACGCACTGAGATACTCACACTCACATCCACATCTTTTTTATCTGAGGACAGCCAATGCACAATACTGCAAGTAGGTGATTGAATCATACTACACTAACACTATATACAAGTAACGCTCGTCTGTGTGACTCGCTTAACCCTCGACTGAATGTTTCACTGCATCAGCAGTTGTTTATTACTGCAGACATTTTGCAAAAGGTAGCATCGGGCATTTGCACATGGCTTTGTGCTAGTGTCAACATTAGTGTACACATGTGTCGGCGTGTATAATGCTATTGGTACCGTTGTAATACTGCTAGCTATAACATTCGTTCATTTAATCTGTTACTCTATCAATAACACTCAAAAGAAATCTACGTGACCCACACTGACACAGCAATATCCTCAAGCCACGAAAAAATAGTATATTCGATTTTCAGAGAAAATCAGCAGACAAAAAATATCAGCGTGACTGCAGTAAAGATGCACTACACTTCACGCAAACTGTATTAATAATGCGCATACTCATAAACACATAGGCGGGCAATATCGCTGACCGGTACCCACTACGAAAATGCATGTTTAGCGTAGCTATCAGACTAAAAAGCTATATTTGTTCAAACTAATATCCGGCATACGCAAGTTGAATCAGGCTTCAACTCTGAGTCTTTGTGAGATTAAATAACGAATTTTAAATAGCCGGAAAAAAAATTTGACAAGTCAATGGGCAGATGACGTATCTATGAAGATAAAGGATTATTAAATTCCATTCAAGTCCACTTTTGATGATTCGATGCAAATTGTATTATTGACGCTTTTCAGGAAATGTTCGATTCCGATATTGAAGATCTCCAACACACTCGTTCTCACACTTCATTCAAATACACTTGTTAACCCTCTTGCCAGTTCTTCCTCCCATGAATCCTAGTAAGATCTAAGTGCTACAGATCCTTCCAATGGATTAGAAGTTTAAAAGAATTCTATTCAAAGGATTTTTTAGGGCAGCAGCTAGTCACTCGTCGGCATCCGAGTGGGTCGTCACGCGCAACTAATTGCTGTTATGCATCGTTCTCTTCCAGTAATTATATAATCATGCACTATTATTTAAATTTTACTGGATTCTAGATTTGGATTAGTTTCAAAGCTGCCTATATTTATCGCATGAGAAATCCCAAAGTGAAAATACTTGTGAACTATTCCTTATGCGTTTCAATCCTTTACCTAGCTAGTCAATCTAAGATTTCATGGAGCTCGCCATCGAAAGAAGCTTAAGTATATGATTTCACACAAAAAACTAGCTTAATAGACCATATCTCATACCAAAAAAATTGTGAAATAGAAATAGAAGCTACTATATTTCACTGTCGGAGTTCCGACGTGGCGCTATTCACACTTAGCTACTACTATCTTTGAACACATATTCTCAAATGACTACTTTCTTATTCAAGGCATGACTAATCCACATTTCGACTGCTTCAAAAGCTTCTCTACTCGTAACTAAAGGGTACTAGATTTCCTATATCCAGCAAGATATCTATTAAATATATACGTGTCGTCTCTCGAGTTTCTCCATGTTTATAGGAGTCCTTCTCTACATAAAATGTCACATGTTAAGTCTCTGTGGCACTTTTTTAAGGACCTTGCTTGATGTTATGCAGAAATGTCGTAAAACAGATTTGAATAAACCTAGTTTAGAGGCAGCTATTCGTTCGCCGTCCTTCCGAAGGAACGCCATTCACGGCTATCCGCTACTTCCAGCTACTTTCACTCACGAAAGGTTGATACCATTTTCAAAATCGAGCCATCGTTTTTATTTAAAAAACTGATGGAAAGTTTGATCCTTTACAAAAAAATTCATCCACATTAGAAATTTTCTTTGGAAGCTTATCAGTATTCAGGAAGAGGACACGTTAGTATAGATTTACCGATAATCTGAAATATTCTGAATAAGTGGACACAGCCGTTGTATCCTGTCAATCTAAATAATTTTTTTGCGTAACTCGCTCTCATTCCTCAATCTTTGTTCTACAAGCACTCTAATTTCATCTTATCTTCGTATTTCTTGATTCATTACACTACTGTCACGTATTACAAAGTACTTGCTGTTTCTCAACATCACTTCTCATAGAACGAATAGATTCGAGATCTGAATTTTGGAATCCTGATTCCAGATTCGGATTTCTCACCCTCGATAACCTCTAACAAAGTTCGATCAAAACGGCCAAAAGCCGTAAAATAAAAAAGTTCCTTTTTTGATTGACCGGTTTCCGACCAATGAAACTTCGGCCAAAGAAATGGCTTCGGATTCGGATTCAGGGCCATCGATAACCTATGGCAAAGTTTCATCAAATCGTCGAAAAGCCTTAAAATAAAAAAGCTGGTTTCTGATTGGCCGGATTTCACACAATGAAAGCCCGGCCAAAAAAACTGACTTCGGATTCGGAATCCTGGCCATCGATAACCTATAGCAAAGTTCACTCAAAACGACCAAAAGTTTTAAAATGAAAAAGCTCATTTCTGATTGACCGATTTCTGACCAATGAAATCTCGGCCAAAAAAATGGCCTTCGGATTCGGATTCAGGGCCCTCGATAACCTATAGCAAAGTTCGATCAAAACGGCGAAAAGTCTTAAAATAAGAAAGTTCTTTTCTGATTGGTTAGTTTTTGACCAATGAAATCTCGGCCAAAAAAATGGCCTTCGGATTCAAATTCAGCGCTCTCGATAACCTATAGCAGAGTTCGATCAAAACGGCCAAAAGTCTCAAAATAAAAAAAAGTTCGTTTCTGATTGGCCGGTTCCTGACCAATGAAATCTCGGCCAAAAAAATGGGCTTCGGATTCAGATTCAGGGCCCTCGATAACCTATAGCAAAGTTCCATCAAAAAGGTCAAAAGCCTTTAGAATAAGAAATTTCGTTTCTGATTGGTCGGTTTTCAACTAATGACACCTCGGCAACCGAAATTGGCAATGGATTCAGATTCAGGGCCCTCGATAACCTATGGCAAAGTTCACTCAAAACGACCAAAAGTCTTAAAATAAGAAAGTTCGTTTTTGATTGGTCAGTTCCTGACCAATAAAACCTCGGCCACCGAAATGGGCAATGGATTCGGATTCAGGGCCCTCGATAACCTATGCCAAAGTTCACTCAAAACGACCAAAAGTCTTAAAATAAAAAAGTTCGTTTTTGATTGGTCAGTTCCTGACCAATGAAACCCCGGCCACCGAAATGGGCAATGGATTCGGATTCAGGGCCCTCGATAACCTATGGCAAAGTTCACTCAAAACGACCAAAAGTCTTAAAATAAGAAAGTTCGTTTTTGATTGGTCAGTTCCTGACCAATGAAACCCCGGCCACCGAAACGGGCAATGGATTCGGATTCAGGGCCCTCGATAACCTATAGCAAAGTTCCATCAAAAAGGTCAAAAGCCTTTAAAATAAGAAAGTTCGTTTCTGATTGGTCGGTTTTTAACTAATGAGACCTCGGCCACCGAAATGGGCAATGGATTCGGATTCAGGGCCCTCGATAACCTATGGCAAAGTTCACTCAAAACGACCAAAAGTCTTAAAATAAGAAAGTACGTTTTTGATTGGTCAGTTCCTGACCAATAAAACCCCGGCCACCGAAATGGGCAATGGATTCGGACTCAGGGCCCTCGATAACCTATGGCAAAGTTCACTCAAAACGACCAAAAGTCTTAAAATAAGCTAACCTCTCTGGTATGTTCTTTTGACCCTGACACAAACCCACAAACTATTTTTTTTTGTATGACCCTCCTTTCAGTCGAGGGAACATACCAGAGATGACAAGAATCCTGTTGAAAAACCTCAGAAAACTCAGTGAAACGAGGACACCCTTCGCCCGGAACCAACCCGTAGACACAGCACCAAGCACAAAATTCTGCCTCAACGATGATTACTTAGGCACCGATGTCTACGCTGCACAAAAGGGTGTTCCGTGCTGCGGAAATGATAGAATGCTGCTTTGAAAATAGTAGGGATCCGAGAGGAAAATGAGAATGAGATCTCACCATCGTTTCCGGGTGTAGAAAATAGCCGGAATGAAGCTGGAAACTGAGGAAAGAATCGATCTCGGATCTGGCAGCAGAAAATCGACAGGAATTCGTCAGATTTGCCGTTTTCTGCCGTAATTTATTGACCTGGAGTGTAGTCAACCTGTATTGTTGGCAGCATACTGTGTGATTCCGATTACAAAAATCGCATAGAATATATCGTTTCCGAGCTCCAAAATCATCGACATAAGTATGTAGTGCTTCTTACAATTTTATAGGTTTCTATAGCGAGTTTCTGTAGGAAATTGAGCAGATACTGTGTGAAAATGGACGAGTCCCATCAGAAATTTAGCGGAGCGTATGAGAAATAGAGTGAATTCCGCAGGAAGCGCGTCTGAAAGTCTTCCGGTATGGCCGGATCCTGCGGAAAGTTCAGCGAACAGGGTCGGAATCGGAATCAACGACCTAGGGACTGCACGCAAAAAGGAGAAAATGAATATTGAAATTCTTGTATATCGTTATTCACAAACAGAGAGGGAATATATCTGTTCGAATCTATCATTCGTGGACAACTGCAGCGAAAATATTTCACAAAGAAAAGCGAGTTGTCGACCATGAAAACTGAGTGAATGGTTGATAAAATATTAACATCGCCAATTATTTATTGGTTATCTGAGATATTAGTGAAAGAAATGTTATAAGTAAAACCAGTGCATATAGAATACTGACAAGAAATATGCACAGCGATCTTCAAACCGAAGTACAAGTAATGAGTCAGAATCTGAGTCCTTTTCAGATGAATGATGACATCACAAATCAAGAAGAATTGTCAAAATGACTCAAGTTTAAAGTTAGTCTTCCATAAATGCTAAGCAACTGAATATTACTTTCAACCATTTCTGTTTACACTTTACCGATCTAAGGTTGATAGGAAAGTAGTAAAGAAAGAAAATGGCGAGTAATTGTTTGCCTTTTTGCATACGAAATAAGAAGCGGAGAACATATTTAGAGAAAAAGGAGAAGCATTCACAGACCAGATGTATCAACATAAATCAAACGATTTGATTACATTACAATGAATGCTTTTGAAGCAAAATCGGTCAATTTTTTCTGTATAACTCATACCAAGTACCTGTGGTATTATGGTATCATAGCTGTTTGTCGGACAGAAGACTCGGATGTGTATTCATCTAAAATTGCGTGTTCCCCTCAAATATGCCCCACTCATTGAATGGCATGCTGCTTAATATGCGAACGACATTATTCAATTCCTGGCTGGCACAGTATTAGCATTCTTTTTTCCTTCTTTTCGCTTATCTATACAGTGAATACTTTTCATTTGAAAAAGAAAGTCATAGCTGTTTCTATGCAGCTTAGCAATTTTATCCTTAGTATCATAGTTGCACATTCACGAAAAACATGACATATTGTCAACAAACACGCATTGTATGAGAGAATATATGCTTGTTCCAACGAAATACATTTTTCGAAGCCCATAACATTAACGTCTGACACAATCTCTCCATCTCTTCCCAGATTGCTTGTCAACCTTGTCTACCGTATTTATGACAATCTCGACGTTTTCACGCGATGAGATCGGTTCAATACGTTGATATTCATCCAAAGCCAAATCAATTTCTTCACATTCTTCATACGTACTTGCTCTCGATTCAGGGTCAGAGTATGTTGAACTACTGAAATATATTGAAAAAATGTTTTTGAAGAGAGACTTTTCTGATGATATCATTTAAAATACCTGACATCAACAGGCATTGTCTTTGATGTAGGTGGTGGTGACGCTTGATGTTCTACATACACAAATATAGACTATTACCAATTTTATCGTGATGTATATTTGATCTTAAATCTTTTGACGTTTCCTATGTCATATATGACTTGTATTCAAACATTCCTATTGTTGAATCGTTTCGAACTTTTTGACGTTATTAAACAAGGAAAATCATTAGGCTTTCTATCTGTTTTGTGTGGTATTGAGAAAGATAAATTTTCATGATCCTATTTGAACTTGTTTTTCAACCCTACCCACCGTTTATTAACATAATTCGACTTTTGAACATTCCTAACACATTCAACTTTTCTTCAAAACAAACATTGTACATTTCATTCATAAATTTTAGATACTTGAATAAAAAATCAAGAGTTATTACTTTATAAAGTGGATGCAAAAAGTTTAACTAAAAATGAAATGCATTTGGGTTAATGATAATTTTTTCATTATAATACTAAGAGTACCATTCAAAAATGCAAGCTATGCCTGTCACGATGAACTAATTTACATCGAAAAAACTTGATCTTAAGATATCCTAGACTATTAGCACCATTTATACCTACCCTTGACGTATTAAAATTATTTCTGTCATTGAACGAAGTAGAGCATTGAATCCTCTATAAAACGATATAATTTGTAACCATCCAACTCGAAAATCTAAGGCTATTCCGAAGATAGATTCGATACAACACATTCTGCGCAAGTACAATAGTGAATTTATTCTATAGACGATCAATCTGTCTCACACGTAAAGAAAAATTATTTAGATCGTTTAGAATTTTCGCGTTGGATGGTTGCAAAATATATTATTTTATAGAGAATTTAATGCTCTATTTGGTCCAATAACAAAAATAATGTTTTAACTTTGACTTACACTCAGAATATATCATTCGATGTAACTTTTAATGCATTTTTCAATGACATATCTCAATGTACAGTTTGCGCTAAAAGGTCATAACAAAACCAAGATTTTCTACAGAAAGATTAATGCTTTCAAGATTCATTGTTCTGGGATATCTTAAGATCAAGTTTACTCGATGTAAATTAGCTCATCGTGATAGGTATACCTTGGACTTTTGAATATTTATCGTATGCTAAAACAGGTCAAAATAAAACTGAAGATTTGAAAATTTACACGTGTATTCCAACTAATTTAGCACTAACAACACTTTTTATTTGATTGTCAAGCTTGATTTTATCAATGAATACTTCAGTAGATTAGTGTAAGACCCTATTCCCACTTTGATGTTCATTTACAGTGTGTGAACGTCTATGTGTAGAGCAGTGAACAAGCTGAATGTATTCGAGGAGAAAATCGCAAGAATGATGATAAACACGAAAGAACAAATCCGAAAGTGTCACTCAGACAAAAAGAAATTCCTATACAGCTATACTAGGAAGAATTGAAAAATTCATAGTGCGACGAACATACATTCATTATATACCTTTATTTCTGACAGGCTGATTGAGTGGTGGTTGTTGCGGAATGCATGGTTTTGAAGGATTTACAAGCTGATCTAGTAATGTTTCAATAGGTATACTTTGGTGTTTTTCCTTATATTCACGAGCCACTTTTCGTCCATCATCAGTGGCTATTTTCATCCTCACAACTACCATTTGATCTTGACAGACGTGTAAAATTCGGAAAGCAGTACATACATCGAATACAATAATTGGCGACGAGACATTTTTAGACAATTCAACATATGGAGTTGTCGAATCACAATCAATTTTAAATAAAACTGGTATTAGATCAGGACGACACGTTGGTGATGAAGCAGCTGCCAATGCCATTATTCTTGATTTGGTACAAACTAAAAACCAACTGGTACATATGAGTCTACCAATATTTTTGACAAATTTCTCGACAAGTTCACTAGATAATTTCATGCCTCGATAGAATTGTTTACTTGAATTGTGCTTAGATTGTTGTTGTAAGAAACGTGACGCATCACTGATAAGAAAACGACAAAATTTGAGTTGTTCCATATTTCGAGAGTAGAGTGCATTATTAATAAAACGTGAAGGAAATGGAAACCGTAAACACCAGCTAAGAGCATCAGCTGCAGTATAGGAATGGTCTAATGTTTCTATTAGTGCAAGTATTTTATTATTGTGTCGATAGTAGTTTTGAACCACTTCGATAAATTCCTGTTTACCAATTTTTGATTTTCGCATCATTATCTAAATAAATAAATGGAATTTTTCAAAAAATAATTCGTTTTTCATTCTTACCTCGTTCCTCCACAATTGTAACCAGAGAAACGTATTATCTTCCTCGAATAGAAATTCTTCAAATCTAATTCGTTGAAACATTTCAAGAGTTTCTTTAACTGCAAGAAGCAATTGCTCTTGTTCTTCATAAACACCGATGAGTTTGACAAAATCTGTTTTAACTGATTGTTCATCTAGTTTCAATATGAAGATAGCTTCAACAGATGCAATAGCATTTGCTGTGGCAATTATATCTATATTAGTTGATGCACAGATAAAAAAGATTCTGTCATTTGATGACTCTATAGAAGTAAAACATGATAATGGATCGGTGTACGATTGAACATAGTTGTTTATCATTCGGAGTGCATTAACAATATTCCCCATAGATTGTGATTGAGGATCAAGCCAAATAAAAGTGACATTTTCATAGTTTTGTTGTGCATCAAGATACTTATTGCAATGCTTTTGAGGCACAATTGTTTCGCTTGTTGATGATGAGAGCGAAGCGGAAGCCATCAGTAGTGGAAAACTTTTTTATCGATACTAAAAGTAGACATTCATTAGAGAACATGTGACATTATTCAGAGCTGGTCAAATCAAGTTAAGTCTGGCTTGACTTCAAAGAGTATATCTGTAACAAGTTTTAAAAATCATTGCCTATCTCATGTGAAGTTTTTTTCTTTTCAACTTATTATTCCCTAGATTGAATAGTCCGATGTTCCCAAAGTTAATTTAAAACTGAAAATATCTATGTATGTCTGCCTGAAAGATGATTTTTAAAATCCTGTCTACCTGATTCTCAATAATTGTTTTCATTTTTCGGATGTAGACGTGGTTCATATGAATGAAGACACGAACGATATCTGCACCGACACACTTTACAATTATTTTCTGCTGCTTGACTCTATTGCTCTAGATGTTTTCAATACTATGCAAGGCATTTTATTCTTTCTCGTTCTGTACACTAGCCAGGATTTCGACCATGAGCGGACGATGACATTAGCTGCTTGAATTTGTCGCCATTGCGCGTCGAAAAGTATTAATCACGTTCTCACAGTGAGATTGTCTGTTGGTATACAAAGAACATATTTTGAAGAATGCAGAACACAAGCATCTCGAGCAAAAAAAGCAAGTTTCAATCAGAAATACGGTTTTCTTTGCATTCATCAATGTTCCTAAAAGACGCTAAAACTTCCTTTGATTGAATATGTGCCCAACAACAATCTAGGGAGATGGGAAACATTTTTTGACCGGACCTGGCTATCAGTATATTTTGTTGCTTAGCGGAGGAGCTCCAGTGTTTTTAATTTACACATCTGATCTTGAAAAAAAGATGAGAAAATTATTACGAATGAAAAACAACACAGAATATTGCCTATTCAAATATTCACCTGTGCACGAATATGTGTTGTTGGCGACAGCAAAGCAGAAAAAGAATCGATTGCTTCTTGCAACAAGATTGAATTCTCTTCTCCTTTTCGTTCGATAAATCAATCCCATTTGCTCGACAATAGAGAAAAAAAACTTGTCCGGCATTTGAGCGTTGCTTTGTTAATGGATCTATTTGTAATAGAGAGACATGACTAAATAGCAGTGTTTTTTTTGAGCAACAGTCGATTGGTGACTACTACTTCACATAGAAAGAAGCGTTTCGATGAATCATTTCTTTTTGTGTAACATCTTTTAGGTTGATTCAAATATGGATAATAATAATAGTCAAGAAACGATTGAATAACTTCATCCAATCGTCAACATTATAGAAACATTCACCAATACAAATGATTGTATCGGTGACATATTCGATTTACTTGAAGAGCGTATTTATTAATTGTTTCAGAAGTCATGATTCAACAAATTGTTCTACGGTGTGGGTGTGTAGTGTGGGTGTGTGATGTGGGTGTGAGTGTGGGCGTATGACGTGGGTGTGGTTGCGGGTGTGTGGATGTGATTGTGGGGTGTGGATGCGATTTTGGAATGTCGGTATGAAAGTCTGTTTTTTTCTTCACCCACACCGGCACTCACAAGTACACCCCACACTTCTATCACACTCTTAGCTCACCCCCATCCACACCTACATTCACATCCCACACCCACACTCAACCCACACCCGTGGAGAATGTTTGACTCTCATACTATCAATTTCAAATTTATTATTTTGAATGTTATTTCACGTTTATTCTATGTCTACATGTAATGATAAATGATTAATTTCATCCGAACAGAAAACAACAGTATACTAAATTTCTATTTTCATAATCAGTTTATTTTTGTCTTCTCACAATATTTTATGGACTAGCCTCTTGCAAGAAATAAGTGGCTAAAGCATGACAAATTATCTTGTAATCCTGAACTGATTGTTGCAATTCAGGTGAGCTAGGGTGAAATTCTGAATGGACTTGTTTGAGATGATCAACCCCGAATAATAATAATCGCTTATTGAGTTCTTGACAATTGATTATATTGAAAGATATATTTTTAAATCTCTGTCTATAACGTCTTGTCCGTTCACTTACAAATTGATTGTCGTTTTCGTGGCAGAAAATCCGGATTTTTTGAAGACTAAGTGGCATATTACTTATAGTAGGCAACCAGTGTTGCATGTTATCGCCATAAGCAAATAATGTGATTATTTTACGATCAATTGTCTGGATAAGTTCCTGAAGTTGTTCTATATTATGAAAAACTTGAATGAATGACATTCGAGAGGCATCGTTTAAATCAATGGGAGGATGCACTCTATCCATTTCGTAAAGTAGGAAGGTCGAATGACAAGCATCTTGATATACATGATTGTTAAATGTAATATCATCAATAGTTGGCATCTAAAATGAGACACAGATAAAAGTAGATTTTTGCTGTAATATAAAAAAAATGTTTTTTCGAAGTTTATTAAAGTTCTGTTAGAATGTTATAAAGTTCGTATGCTTTCGTCAACATGTCTTTAGCTGTTTTTCACGATCAGCATTTGGCATTGTAGCTCGGCAAAATTGTTCGTGACTGAGACGAGTATTATTGCAGCATTGAGTGGTATTGTTGTTATTCATAAGCACTGAATTGAAAGCTTTCTTCAATTCGCCATGGATACGATTGGCTAGATCTTCTTTTTCTTTCGCCATCGATAAATTACCAGATTGTAACAATTCGTTTGCTTCTTTTTTATAACACAGATATATTTCGTCGGCTAATTGGAAGATGAGATCTTCACCAGAATCGAAATGCTTTCGATGATCGACTTTGTTTGTATTATGCTCCAGTATGAAAACCGCTTCATACTTTCCAAGCTTATGTTCCATTGTAGTATAAAACTCGCTACTGACAAAGTATAACGCATTCTTTTTAGACAGTTTTTTTAGATCAGTTAATGAAGCATGATCTCTAATAATTATAGAATCGTCTGTCAGTGAACACAGGCATTCCAGCAAGGCGAAAGCTGTTTTATTCAAACGTGTTGATAAATCAATGAGAACAAACTTAAAAGTAGTAGGAGATGCTAAAACAAAGAAAATGAGAGCTGTTGAAATTGTTTACTTAATATGTCGGTACAAACCTGATTGAATTTTAATAGACTTCTTCGATAGACTCTCCACTTGCGAATCATCAGTAGAATTATGCGATCGTTTCTGAACCAATCTTTGAGATTTTGGTAAGCTCATCATGGAGAAATACGTTAAATCGATATTTGTTTTGAGTTGGTTTCTATCAGAACTATCGCTGAGAAATTATAGAAAATATTAATTGCGAAGAGATTATGTTTCAATTGTTTCTGTATTGTTTTATAATTTCTTGATGCGCCAAAGTAGTCTTTTTTTTATCTTATAAATAAAAAACTTGTTAGCGCAGGCCCTTTGAGGTTAAAATGTGGGACTCACGTATGGTGTGGGTGCGGGTGAGTGGGTGTGGGTGCACTCTAAGTTAAAATGTGTCGCATGTGTCGTGATTCGCAACACATCCCACGACACATTCAAGCACGACACGAGGTGCTCGTTGCGACACATTTTCTCAAACAAGCGTACGACACATCCTACACATTCTGAAATCGCGGCTCGAGCCTAGGTTTCACCGTACCCATAACATTTTTTTCTTTGATGCATTATATCCATCAATATTTAATTAGTACAATTAACATCAGTGTTTGATGCAACATCGTTAAATAGTCTGATCTTGAGATCCAACCGTGTAAGGCTAGTCAGATCTTGTTCAGGCTACTGCCAGGTAGACCTCTTTTAAAGTGAGGTCATTATTTCTCGAAATATTTACAAAAAATATATAATCGAGAAATGTATTATATAGAATGGTGCACGAAAACTTATTATTCTCATATGATGGTTCAGTCCGATTATATATAGATATACATGCGGAATAAAATGGTGAAGGAGCAGTCGTCATGTATGTATAGAACGGTTAAAAATACAACACATTAAAGGACGACACATTTTCTTGCTGAAACCCACGAAATTATAATTTACGACGGAAAAAGTTGGCACATTTTAACTTAGAGTGTGTGGGTGTAGATGTCGGTGTGGGTGTTGGTGGAGAGTGGCTGTTGCTGTGGGAGTGGGTGTGAGTGTGGGTGGAGTGTGGCTGTTACTGTGGATCTTCTCCTGACCTACAACCACATCCAATATCCCACATCCCACAGCCATATCCTACATCCACATCCACACCCACACCCATATGTTGATGTTGTTCTCATGGTTCTCTGTATCGTTTAAGACTTTTTGCTGATATCCTGATAAATGACTAGATAATTGCGACTCCCCTGCTATTATCATCGTTCGGGTTTGTGAGAGCAGGAGTTTTTCTCTGTGACTCTGAAGGATTTACATACTTGATGAAGCTTTTAGTATTCATCCTTACAGATTTCGTTGTCATTCAAAGCTGTATGGGGTCACTTCTATGGAATTCTCTGTGAAACTGGGTTTTTCGCCACCAATCTACCAAACTGGTGAAAGGCTCGAAATACTGAATGCTGGCTTCAAAACATGACCATGTGACGCAAAGTTTTTCGGTCTGATCTTCGCTTACAATCGTTGAAAACAAAGTTCTTTTGTCAATGATTTGCGCATTGTCTTGTTGCTCGAAATGATTGGCCCTTTATGTTTCATATTACTGTGAGTGGTGAAGGTTGCTTCTCTAACTTTGTTACATCAGTGAGTGAACAAAACTTACTGACCTCATTTTAACGGATTTTGCTGTGATTGGAAGTTTTTCCACTGTTGCTCTTCCATACACTCAAAAGGATGGGGGTGGATTTCCTAGCAAAATTGGCCCTATTTGAAAATGCTAACTGAACACCCACTAATTATATATGATCACAAACGTAATTGAGTCCAGTAAATACCTAGACTATAGTTTTGCTAATAATAGCTATTTTCCTACTGATTTTACGATGCATTTGATAAAGGGTATATACGACGATATGAAATATAACATACATAGTAGCTGATGCTTGGCTTGTGTAACTTCAGTCTCCATTATTTCATGGGACTTCGTCACCATTTTTTCAGCATAAGTCT